TCATTTTTATAATTTTTTTTATTTTAAAGGTACATAAAATTAATAATATCAGATTATACTATAATACTTTCAACGCATTTTTCAACGCAACAACATTATCCTCGTTTATGAGATTTCGCCCGCATTTGCCAAGCAAATACTATACAAATCTTCATTTGACATGTTGCTAAGGATCTGTTCACAGCAGTTGATCGGTAGTCGGTAGTTTATGAGTTTCATGTAAGGATCCAGTGCCCAACGCCGGAAAAATCCTCTAGACATCATCTCGCACAGATGCAACTCACAAGCCTCTTTATCTCCATCGTGAAATATCGAAAGAACATCCAATTCCGCAAATTTAAAGTAGTCCTCATACGTGAGAAGTTTTTCTTCCTCTACGGGTATTAATTTACTCCAATCGTAGTTCCAACGTCTTTCCAGAGCCGACGGCTTCTCGAACAAATCGTGTTCAGCGAAGAATCTCATGATCGTCAGTGCCTCGCTCCGGTTGAACACGTATCCTCTTTCCTCGAGATTTTCAGCGATGACCAGTAGACTGGACGCCATGATCAATTTGTAATTGGGGTATATGCTGCTGAAAGCTCGCCTATCCAATCGCTCGGCAAATTCGCTCGCGGTTGGAAAAACGAAGCTCGACAGATCGGCACCGTGATCCAAGAGCACATCGACGACGCGAGGCACGAGATTTTCCACGGCCCATCGAAGTGGCGTCCGGCCCAATTTGTCCACGACATCGAGCTGCGCCAGCCGAGGAAACATCGCCAACAGCTCGTCTCGACTCGAGGCTCTCTTGGAAATCAAGTGCAGTGGTGTCGTTCCATCCTCGTTGACCGAGTTCGTATCGGCGCCTCTTCTCAGAAGCAATTCGACCAGTTTTTGGTTGCCGGGGGCCAGAGCATAGTGTAGGGGTGTATCACCTAACTCGTCCACAGCGTCGATCTCCACGATCCGCTGTTGGTCGTCGCAGATATCGAAGAACGTCTCCGCCAAGTCGTAGCTGAGATCGCCTCCGCTGCAGATAACGTGCAGAGGAGCCCATCCATCGAAGTTGGCTACATTTGGATCTGCGCCTCTCCTCAGCAGCTTCTCCATACCCCTCTTGTTACGTGCTGCGACAGCCATGTGCAGCGGTGTGAAGCCATTTACGTCCTGGATATTGACTCGGCGGGCCGTCGACTGTCGTTTGTCCCAGATCTCGAAAAACATCTCGATAAAGTCATCGTCATCGGCATAACTAATAACGTGTAGAGCAGTGACTCCTTTGTCGTTGGCTATATTTGGATCGGCGCCTCTTCTCAATAGCAATTCGACCAGCTGTTTGTTCCCGGATTCCATAGCCAGTTGCAGCGGTGGAGAAAGGATGTTCGGCTCGCCGAGGCAATTCGGATCCTGGCCGCGTTCGAGAAATCGCTCGACGACGTCGTACAAGCCGTACGTGCAGGCCATGTGAAAATGAGTCACACCACCGGGCTCGTCGACGTAATTCACGTCAGATCTGTCGTAAATCTTGAACAGATCGTGGACGAGTCCGCTGCCACCTGTATAACTCACGTGTATGATAGAGTGCACTGCTGTGTCGCGACGCGACACCGGCTTTCCGTCTTCGTCCACTTCGGGCTCGTCCTTGTAGCCGGTGCGAGCCACGAAGTCGATGATCAGTTCTGCTTTGTAAAGATCCTCTTCTCGGTAATTTGCTAGGCAATCCCTGAGAAGACGCTCAATTTCTTTCGGGCTCAAAGAGTCTCGCAGATTTGGTAGTGGACCCTTCCAATCTATCCAATCCGTTAACAAGGCAAAGAGTCGATCAAGAAGTGCGTATCGATCTGCTTCGATCTCCCAATTGACCTTTTCTCGTAAGCTTTTTAATTTTTTGGAAAAATTTCGGCTGTCTTGATCCATCTTCGTACACACTCGCGCGACACACAGAGTCACTTGTAATTTTTGTAAATATTTGTTCTTTTACACGATAATCGCGTGATCACAGTAGACGAGAACCTTTTTACAACTGTTTACGCTGCGGCGTCTCCGCGTGCACTGTACATACATGTGCTCAAAGATTTATATCGGAAAGCGAAGAACACATGGCGAAGCTACGAGAGAAAGTAGTAGCCACGTAATCGAACGCGTATTCGATCCGAGCGTTTGGGCGGAGCTTAGAGTGGCGCTACGGTCACCATATACACGTAATCTTATGGAAAACCAGGACGCGCTCTGAAAAACTGTCAGCGTCGGACGCTCGAACTACATTTTTTCTTATGAGAATTAATACGAGAAAGCGCCAGGCTGTGTGAACGCTCGGGGCCAATAGCGGAAGTGTCGTGTCACGGAACGAACAGGCAGGCAGTGTACCACAGCAGAGACGATGTAATTCGGCTGCTTCTGCATTGAACTCGGTGCACTCTGCGACCGATGCGACATTCATAGGCGTTCGATTGATGTTTTTTTTAGATTTTGAAAAGTCCCGATGCGCGTGTAATTAACGGTCGATATTGATGAACGATTGCGCTGATTGTTTTCGCAGTGGCTTGGAAATAAAATTATGCTATTTTTTCATGTTTAAGAAGTTGAGTTCCTGAACATTGTTTTTCCATTTTTTATGAATAAGGAGTTGAGTTCCTGAATGCAATTTTTGACACCTATTTCGGATTTCTCACCATAGATTTCACAACAAAAATCTATTTTTTATTTTGATTCTGAAATCACCCTGAATCTACAGGACTTAGTTAATGGATTTACTTGAACATTATATAGCATCACCATTGTTAAATAATCTAATTTTATAGCGTGTAACATCAGAGTGTTTATATAACACGGCCAAACTCTTGGTTGTGTTTATCAACTTAAAAATTTGTTTTTATCCCAGTTGAGTGCGCTGGTCAGTTCCTCACCAGTTTAATAGCCAATATATTGGTTGAGAATTGGCCAGGTTCTGCCCAGTTTATGAGTTAAAAATTTCGAAAGTTTTTAATTTTTTTTTTCATTTTCTAGGCACCATTTGGTGTGCTTAAAATTGTATCTCAGGAATTTGAATCGTCATAACTTTGAGTTTAGGGTCTGCACTGCAACGCTTAATTTACCCCTATAAGACGTCAAATTCCGAACGATTCTCGTGTCGAAAATCGAAAAGAGAAATTGCGCACACGTACGCGGCAAGTTGCTGTGCAACAAAAACAACACCAAAAAACAAAAAAAAAAAAAAAGAAAACAAGATCGACAGAGAAGACATTATTAACGTGTACTGGAGCCATCCCGAAGCTCATGTTACCCACACACAAAACACAAACGCACACGAGTAACGAGCGAAATCGGCGACTTATTTTTCACGGCACCGACTGTATCGAGGCGAGCGATCAAAGCCCGAGATTATATTATATATACGCAGCACGTGTGTGGCGATCGCTGCAACGCGTGTGCAGCAGCAGCAGCGGACTCGTGCTGACTCTCGTTGCCGATTTTCTTCTTCGCAATGACGCAAATCGGTATAGAAAAATTTGAGAAATAGATTTTTTTCTCTCTCTCTCTCTTCTTTGGCCTCCCCCGCACGCACTGCGAGGCACCGAGTGCGATTGTGTATGCAAATTTCGTTACTGGTTTAATTAAAATATATACGTGCAGTTTTTAATAGTACCGGCCTAAAAATAGAGCCCCCGTGTGTCTGTGTGTGTGTACGTGCACGTGCGGACGTACACGCAATGATTAAAGTCCATTTACGCACACCACAGAGAGAGAAAGAGAGACACGTTTATGCATTTTATAACTCCGATAGCGAGGCAATAAAATCAAGCGCCGAAACAAGGTACACACACGGGTACTATACTCTCGGTGCGATCCCCCGCGCGCGCGAGTACAGAGATGCGTATAATAAAATCACATAAAGAAACTTAAACACACGCAAGAATGTGCATATACGAGTTGAAAATATCTTTCTCGTGCGTACGTGCCAAAGGTCAATTTCGACACGTATAGGTATAATATAGGTGATTCGCGCGTATACACGGCTACTTTGGGTTCCGTGTTATGCTGCTGCTGCACGAAGATGAATGGCACACGCAGGTGTAATTCGGGTTAACGAGGATTATTTATTCTCGCGAGCTGTGTGTAGCGCATTTCAAGATGAAGACGTCGAATTCTCGTCTCGCGCAGAAGAGAATGGAGAGATTGTATTTTACGTCCATGGAGGTATTTATACAATATAATATATAATATGCCCTCGCGCCACGGAGTGAGCGAGAGAGAGAGAGAGGATGAATGATGGCAGCGGAGGATGAAATTCACTCGATCGATTTGCTTCTTTTGTTTTGGGATATCGTATCATAAGTGTGTGTGTGTGTGTGTCTCGGCATATTTTCTCTCCGTTACGTGTATGTGTGTATGTGCATCGCATCGAGATTTGCCAATCAGACGAGAGCGAGAGACGATATCGAAACACGCGCGCGGACGAGAGATCGTATCTGTCTCTCACTCGGCATTATATTCGATTCGTTCCCTTCGACCAAAAATAAACGAAACGAAAGAAGGAGTCGAATATTCGACGAACGAGCGATACGTATGAATGCAGAAAAACATTCAAAGTATCGCGCGATGGACTATTTAACGAGACTATGCGCGAGTATCCCCGTCGGTGGAATCGCGAAAAATAAATTTGCGCGTTAACATCGCGAACGAATCGCGAGGAACAAGACGTACTGCCGCGTTTCGCACAAGTAGAGCCTCAAAGCGACTGGAAATAATCGGGATAAACTCCTCCGGGGGGCGTTGAATCGAGTACATTTAATATCCCTGGGTCAGGTGCAAACACACACACTCATATTTTATTTATATTGTTTACGCTTGGTAAAGTCGCGCAGCGTTCAAGACTGTGGTGAGTAAATCAAATTCGCGCACGGGTAGTTTATTTTCAGGGTAAAAACGGACTAAACCGAGCACGAAAAGTAGGGTGTTTCAAAGGATCAAAAATATTATTATACATTTTAAATGTATGACTAAACATTTCGACTTACTTCTTTGAGTGGCACCTTGAACGGTAAAATATTTGTGTTGGTTATGTTGGTGCCGTATGACTTGTAGTCCAGCCACCTGCGAGAACAATGATGAAAGAAAAAACGAGTGTAAATAAACAAAAAAATAGAATATTATATTAGTAAACAATCAGGAGGAGAGACAGCTACGCGCGACGATGTATACATCTAACTCCATCTAACCGACGACGCACGAAAACGTAGAGATCAGCAGCTCGAATGATAAACAAGGAAGGCGACTCCGCCGAGCTCGGAAGACGTTGAAATCCCGCGTTGCGATGCACTTTGCGGAACAACGATGCAACGATCCGATGAAATTTATAACTCGAGTCGTTCGTGTGCTCGAGATTTATAATGCATCTGTCATAATTGTATCTCAGCGATAGTACGTAGCGTTTTCGAAGCCGAAAAGTAAAAAAAAACAACATAACCCTCGTAGTACACAACGCAAGTGAAAACAAGACGTCTCCGCGTATACGGCCGCACACGTGTGTCGCGTGTCGTTGTTCCAGCGCAATCTCGTAAGTAATTACGGCTCGTAATTACGCTATATATGCGTGTACCGAATGTAAACCGAGCAAAGTGATGCAAAATCCCGAAAAATAAAGAACTCGTCGTGGATCATATCGCTCGAAAGACGTCAACAAAACGAGAGACACGCTGCTGCTTACCTGTCCGGTATAGACTTCGACATGTTTTCGGTCTGGGACTTGACGATGCGTTGATTGATCACTGATAATTTTCTGTTTTCTATTTACTTAACACTGCACAAAATCACACACGGCCGAATAAATTACTCTCTCTCTCTTATTATCGCATCTTTTCGCAACAGAAGTACATGCACTCTAACAGCACCGGTGCTAAAGTGTCATGCGCAAAAAGTCCTACACGTTACGCACCACCAAGTGCCGCCATCTGTATACTCGCGATTGTACAATTTGAAATGACACATTGACTTCTCAAGATTTTTTTTTTATTACTTAATCTCATCAATCATGCAGTTATGTTTTTAAAATTATGTTTATTACATTCTTTTCTCAAATTTTACAACATTATAAATATTTTATTATTTACATTTAATAGAAAAATAAATTGTAACTCATTTTAAAATAGACACATAATTAAACTTAATTATCGATCATTAATTTTTGTGCAGTTCATTAAAATAAACAATTTCATAGTCTTGATACAATTGAATGAATTCTTTGTCAAACATTTTCTTCAATTTATCCTGTTACTTGGTTGGACATTGAACATCACCGTCTTTATTAACTTTCTGTTTTGATACCATTTCGAATATCTTTTTCTCCAACTCGATTAGCTTTGGAGGTTTTTTGTACTGAAAATTGAACGCAAATTACTTTCTCATTCATACAATAATTTCAAATTATATTCATTGCATTACCGTTATGATTAAAGTATTGTACTGATGTTTGAAACTCAGTCTATCATGCTCTGGTCGCAGGCCTACTCTTTCTAAATCTGGTACTGTTAACTTTTTGTAATACTTTTTATTACTAGTTCTGACAGTGATTGTTCCATCCTCTTCTGCTGTTACAGAGTAAACATCAACAGGATAGCTGAGGTTTCTTATTCTCCATTCTAAGCCAGTTTTAGTGATTCTTCTTGAAACAATGGGCTAAAAATTTTGCAACAGTGAATTAATTAATGATAATTCAATTATGATCCTCAATAAACCAATTACTTACATTACTAGAACTCTCACGAATACCAGCAGTTTCAAGTTTGTCAACTGCATTAATATTAGGCTCTGGATCGCCAATTTCAACTTCCCATCCTAAATCTTGGCCCAAATCACCTTTTTTTCTCCAAGCTCTCCGGACCACAACATTTGTATCCAAATTGTACTCTTCTACAAATTCTTTGCCATTTTCAAATAAAAAGTGGACTTTTCTGTTTCCTATAAACAAAAGCGTACATTAATTAGTACAAATCCTATTTATATATCACTGAATAATTTTATTAAATACATAAAAAAATTAATTTTATTACAATGAGTTAAAAGCGCACAACAATTTAAATAAAATTCAACCAATCAAGTGCTCCAATTCAGCAGTAAGTAATTTTTTATCATTTAATGAATTTTGTTTGACAGCCTGTAGTGTATTGATCAAACAAAACTCACAATGCAAAATGTCAAGTTCCATTATTTGAAATTTTATGAATGTCAACCGTCAATTCAAACGGAAAACGAATAACATGGATTTCATCGTTGCAAATAATCAATAGTAATAAAAATTATTTGATTACCATCTTGAATAATCGCCGTTTTCTTGGCATCTTGAAGAAGTTTGAACCATTGTTCGGTCGCCATGCTTACACTCGCCTCGACTTGCATTCGCCGACTGGCCGATGTTTACAGTGAACACAGCCTCGAGTTGACGACCGCTTCGATTAATCGCGCACAATCGAGTATGAAGCTAGACGCGATTCGTAAAGTAGTTACCGCTCTACTCTACAATCTACACACGTGCGTTAGGGACAGGGTGAGCGACCGAAATCACCGAAATAAGCAAGCTGATCGCTCGCGTCCTCTTCGCATTGCTTTCGGTACCACTTATAATCAGACTCAATTTTTGCCTCGAGACCTGCGCTTCTACCTCTTGTCTATATTCTCTTCGATATAGCTTCGTGACAGCTCTTATCTGTACAGCACATGGTAAGACAAAGACGTTCTCTAATAAATAAAAAACGTTCGTCTGAATTTAAATTGTTCGAAAGAACGCCAACGACAATTTTTCGTTTTTTGTTTCAGACATAACCCGAAAATGAGTCACGTAGTCGTAATTAGGCCCTTCAAGGATGGCGATGAATACACTTGCTGCGACTTGGCCAAAGAAGGCGTCATGTCATCTTTGAACAGTACAATGATTGGAAATGTTTGTCGAGAATTGACATTCCAGTTGATGATCTTGTTTGCTGCATTGATGTTCATATTTTTAAGTGTTCCATTTACCTTGTGTGCCCTCGTAATACCAGCCGTAGTGCTTTTGATAATGACTTGTACTTACATAGCTTTTACTGTTAAATGTTCAGAAGTCCAGCAAGAAATAAGAAATGCCTCAAGGTATGTCAAACTATTTTTAATTTTTTACATTCAATTATATTCAAAATTGAGATTAACAGTCAGAAGTCAATCCCATTATATTTTAAAATGCATCTAGTTCTGCGGTTTGAATTTTATTTCAAATAGTGTTCTAAATGTTATGCATATAAGTTATTAATTGAATCTTCATTTTTTCAGAATTTACATGTCCAATGCATTCTCCTGTTTTTGGATAGCAGAGGTATACGAACCTTACACAATGACTCGTAAACCAGCTGACTTTCACTATACCATTATGCCAGAAAAAGAATTTAAGGCTCGCAACATTGATGTTTCTTCTCAACGCAAGAAAATTGTTGGCTGCATTGGATTATTGAAAAGTCATAGGCTGGACAAAGGAGCTTGGCTAAAACGCCTTTTTGTACAACAAAGTTATCAACGTAAAGGTATAGCATCTGCTTTATTGCAAGCAGCTATTGACTTTGCAAATGAGCAAGGTTATAGCTGTGTCAATCTTGTAGCATCGGAGTACAATGAAGGTGGTAAAACATTGTGTCTCAAAAAAAAGTTTGAATTATTTCACATGTACCACAAACGAATTCTTGGTTCAGTCATGTCCATCTCAATGTATGAATTAAGTTATCGTATCAAACCTGATGGTGAAGATTACATGACAAATTATTCCAGAAAACGATTATATGTTAGTGACTAATATCATCTTTTTTTGAGTCATATAGCTGAAAGTAACATTATTGGTTCCAAAATCAAAAGAAAATGTTATTTTTTGCCGATAAATTTAAGAAATACTCTAATTGCATTCTTTTAGCCTTAACTTTTTCAACATTTTACATGTAATATACATGTAATATAGATGATTTCTAATTTTACTCTCTTAAATTAGTACCATACTATTTTCATGAGGTTTTTATAAATGCGAAACATTACTTTTTTACCAAAGGTGAGATTTACCTTCTCAAAATGATAAAACAAAGACTAATGATAGTACATATTTACTTAAAAATATTGTTTAAGTTGAAATTACAAATTTATTCAACAATTTTAATTTTAAATTTAAGACTTGGACATTGCTTTGCGATATCTGGAAATTTCATCTCCTTCCCAGTGTTTTTCAACTATTTTTGACAAGTATCTGTTGAGAATGTTTGAAAAATTATAAGAATCTCATCAAAAAAAATTTTTTATTCTATCCAGTTACTTATACTAAATGGAAATACTATAACTTACTTTTCTTTAATGAAACTTAAAGTTTTTTCTTCTTCATCTGTGATTCCATGGTTCAGAGTGTTTAAATTCATTTCCAAGTCTTTTAAATTTTGCATACCAATTAAATTAGTAGCAAAATCAGGACACTGCAAAGAATGCCAAACCGCTAATTTGCCCAACTCAATTCCACGTTCCTAGTTAAGAAAAAATTTTTTAAATACTAAACAAATTGTGACTTTTATAAAATGTGGTCAATAAGCTGATAAAATAACACACTTGACAATATTGTCCAGCTTCTTTACAAAGCTGCTTCACCATTTTAGAAGCAGGATGCCATTCTGGCGGTCCTTTATTCGTTAGCAATCCCATGGAAGGTGCTGCTGCATTTATTACTCCAATATTGTTTTCCTGTAATATTTTATTGCGTTACTCAAGATTGTGACTATAGATAATTAAGATTGTATTGTAACTACGATGTAAGGATAATGAGCACAAGAACAAAACGTACTATAAAATTGTTAAACATTTGAAATATTTTGAAATAGTTAAATATTGAAGATCAAAGTAATTTATCATAGTTATATAGTGCCTAGTAAAAGTAAGTTCAAGTATTATGCTATAAATATTGACCCTGAAAAAGTGCATGTACTCGCAGAGTGTATCATCAATGAGAGTGTATCTAGCGTAAGAGAGGATGAGGCTGATCCGAATGTTGCATTGTTCTATACACTCTTTGAGGACAGATACGGGATATCCTGTGACGCCAATGAATCTTGCTTTGCCATCTCGAACTTGTCGCGACAGCTCTGGTAATGTTTCAGTGGTCACCACATGCAAAGATGGGGCAAATTCAACGTCGTGAACCTGTATGGAAAATCGATCAATTTTATGTAATGATTTGACAGCTCTCCATTTAAGTCAACGGCAATCTCGTTAAGAGAATGAAGAATCAAAGGAACATTTTCACCTGAATAACGTCTACATAATCGAGTTGAAGCAATTTCAAGCTCCTGGCGACACTCTTGCGAGTCTCCGATACCGAAAAGTCAAACATGCGCTCGTAGTCTAGCTCGTACCTGCCGACTTTCGTAGCTATGTAATACGCAGCTCGAGGAATTCCTTTGAGTGCCTATAGGAAATAAATTATAAAAAAAAAAACGTAAATGATATGTTATACTCGCAAAAAGTGATATATGTGTTGAATTTAAAAATGTCGATCTGAGCTCGACGAGACTAAGTCTTTGATGTTTGATATTTTTGTAGGGATTGTTCAGTTTTTTAAGAATTTTATACTCGATCGAAACGAACAAATAAAGTGTGTGAAAAGAAAAATGTGGAAAAAAACCGAAGCATTTTGTTTTATTTTACCTTGCCGAGGACAGTCTCGGATTGACCCTGTCCATACCAGTACGCGGTGTCGATGTAATTGATTCCCTTCCTTATGGCCGTTCTCACGGTCTCTATGGCCTCTTCCTCGTTGTATTTTCTTAAAAAAAAAAAAAAAATATTCACTCTTACATTTTTCATCTCACTCTCGTTATCATTTGTTTCGTTTTGTTTGATTTTTTTTCTAGATTCTCATCGTCGCAATAAAACATCATAATTCGTGAATAAATGTACCCGTAATGACAGCCCAGCGTTCCACAGCCGAGGGACAGTTTGCTGACCAATAAACCGGTCTTGCCCAGCGGTCTGTACTCCATAGACTCGACCGCCTCCAAATCGTGGAAACCCTCCACATAGGTAGGTGGCAAATTCGACCTATATACATCGAGAAAACATTTATTTCGCATCCAAACGAATATAATTATGAATATTTCGCTTGAAAATTTCCACGTGCGCCGCGCCGTCCGCGTCTATTTCGGACGAGCTTTTCAAAAGCGTAAAAGCTGCTGTTACCTCTCCCCGTGTTGGTGGTGGTACAGCGCGCGAACATAACGCGCGTTTCGTCGTCTTTAAAAATAAACACTGTATAAGGGTATGTAACGCCAAAAGTTCGGAGTTATGCAAGACCGGCTGCTGTGGCTGCTGCTGCGTGCGCTATTAAACTCGCGCTGCGGCAGTTGTACACTTGAACTTGAACGAGAATCTCGTCCGTCGTACGCGTGTATCTGTGCGTGTGTGTGTGCTTGCGTTGCAGCACGCGAGAGATGCACATGCAGCAGCAGCACCCACAGCGGTATCTTTGCTGATATAAAATTGTTTCGCTGCTTCTTCGAAGTAGTACGTGCCGTTTGGTTGTTCTGTTGTTTTGTTGTTTATTGTTGCCGTTGTTATTGGTAGTGCAACAATGATGCTACGCACTAGATATGTGTATTGTGTGCCAATTATCATGTGATTAACACGCGATCGAAGCTTATCAACGCGATTTATTTTAACAAATTTAAAGACCGATCGGATTGAAACGGCAGCGCTACTATTTACAAACATATTGAGTGATGGATTTTACGTACATTTTCGGACACTGATTCCTTATTTTTTTTTATACTAATCGTCCAATACTGCGTGTACAACAAAATGAAATCCTGTATATCCGCTGCGTCGCAATCGGCTCGACTATAATAATCTAATACGCGTTTATCGTCCTTCTATTTATACCGGTGCCTAATCCGAACGATCGTGTCGCACAGCACGCAGCGCGCGATATCCGCGAATTGTTTACTGCACACACAAGCACACGTTGTACGGGGACTTTACGACGGGGAATTCGCTTGTCTCTCGAGTGGCGGTACTTGTAACGCCAGTGTGTACTGTGTGGCGTGCTAAACTCCGAACTGTTATGTCACGTGCATGTGCACGCGTGTGTAATCGTCGTGGCATTTGAGAACTCGACATTGCCATCCGCGACGACGTACGATTTCAGCCGCAATTGCGAGAATCGCGCGAATTTTGATAGTATAGCGCCTCAGCCTTCGATACGAGCGCGAATCTTCTCTGCAGCGGCACGTGTGTGCGTATAGTAACGTATCGACTGCCGGATACGTAGATTCTGCCGCTGAACTCCAGCGCGGATCGCGTATCATATTTATAACGGCGCGCGTGATTCGGATCTAATAATAATGCCTCGGTGTTATCGTTGCTATGCGCACGTGCGTAATTGAATGTGCATCGATCGTAATTCCCTATATCTCCGTCTCTCGTTGGTTTCGAGTGTTTACGTCTGTACACCATATGCAGATCCGATTCTCTCTCTCTCTCTCTCTCTCGGCTTGCTCGATCTCGGGCGAGCTTTTTGCCAAGCACAAGCACACGCGCTCTAAACGCGTTACGATTAATTTATACACGGCTCCACGCTCGTTTATTTATAATTATATATAAATTTTAGAGCAGAGAAACTTTTGCATGCGAAACGATCGCATCGACGCCCGATAAACATGTGTACACTTACATACATAATCAATTAATTGCTCGGCTCACGCTCGAGACTCTCTAATCAGCCATTTATCTCGGGGCGCCGCGGCACATATATACGCTGCTTAATCCATCCCTAACTTATAATATACATAATATGCGAGCTCGGGGTCGTTCTACGCCGTTCCAAAGGATTATAAAGTTTTCGTACGTATAGAGCCGCATTGTAACACATACACACACACATGCCGATCGCTGATATATATGTGTGTATACGATAACGTATTCGTGCGCCGCAGCGGCACTCCATTATAAACGAGAAAAAGAAAAATAGGCTAGCTCGCGCGCGCGCGTGTACGTCGTTAGACACGCCGCTATATATATATATGGGCTACTGCTACTGTATGAGAGAAGAAAGCTGAAAAACGAGGGACACATTCTTCTAATACGTGCGAGTGCAGCGCAGCTTTTGTTATTATATGCCGAGCGTATATAGCAGCGAAGTCGTCGTTCTTTCTTTCTTCGACTTCACCGGCGTTTTTTTTTTTGTTTTTTACAACTTTTTGTATCAACGGTATCCGACCAACGCGGCTTGAACGATCGTTGTAAAAATGTAGGAGTACATTTTTTAATCTTATTTTATTAATTTCAACACTTTCCATGAAATACGTACCGAGTTCTTACGGTAGTATCAACTACATTAAAGAACAAAAAACAAACATTATTCAGCTGCTTGTACATTTGCGTGCACTTTTTATACAATTGGCTAAAATTAATTTTAATTGCGGTAATTTATCAGGGAATAATTTTTAATATATAAAAACTCATATCAGAGTTCATTACTGGAGAGTGTTTTTGGTGAATGCATTTTTTACTTAATTCTACAATAGTATACTACCCTTATACATTGCGCAGCGGGAGAGACAGTTTTGAGATTATGGTACGATAATAACTCGTGAGCGGAAGTGTTCGAGGGGCTCGAGATTCTGAACTTCCCGTCAGCCACCAAAACGCTCGAGCTCCGATATTTTTGGAACTTTTCATCGAGAAATTCGCGCGGCTATTCTTAAAACCATTGCGGCGTTGTTAGAAGTAACGGCTAGAGGCCCATAGCCAAGTCATACTACTTTTTTTTATAGTCAGTACTTATCAGAACGCCTTGCTGTGCAGGTGCAAAAACGGAATCGCTTCGACCGGAGTGCGCGATTTTTGCGAAAGAAATATAAAAAAAAAATATTTCAAATCGCCAGCGACCGTATTGTTGGTGTATGAGTGCGCAGAAAGATGTACCCGTTGAAATACCACGCAAAAAGCGACGATAATAACGACGATGATCTCGAACACGTGGATAACAAGGAAAAAATAGACACTTTGAAGAGTATACGTGTAAAGGTCAATTGGGCGATCAAAGAGGCTCGATATCATTTTCTCGATATACTCTATCCCGTACTTATGGAATATGCATGGAAGGGCCGATTTCCAGATCTCCGAGATATTTTTCCTCCCGAAGAAATCGAGTGTCTTCTCGCAGATTCGATAAATTACTGGGCTGGACAAGAGAACAGCGTTCGAAGACAACGATTCATCGAGTTCGTGATTCGCACCGGTTACAAAGACGAGCCCGAAGTCGACGAAGACGGCAAGCCATTGTTGCGTCGCACTACGGCACTGCTCCGGGCGGCCAAGAAGCAATACCACAACTGCGTTCGTATGCTCTTTAAAATCTACGATAGATTCGACGCGAATTACGTCGACGAATCCGGCCTGACGCATTTTCATGCCGCCTGTATGAGCGACTGTCTCGCGATCGTCGAAAAATTTCTCGAGCTCGGACAAGATGCCAATTGCATCGCGCGAAGAACAACGGATTCGCCGCTGCACTTGGCGGTTTTCTACGGTCACAAGAAGGTGGTCGAATTACTGTTGAGCCGCGGCGCCGATCCGAACTCGACCGACACGTCATTTGCCAGAAAAAATACTCCGACGATGATTTGGTGGAGGTATTTTTCAAGATCAGCGACGAAAAACATCGGCCGGTGCGGGTCGACGCCCGGGACCACATGAGTCGAACACCGCTGCTCTTGGCTTCGATCCGGAGCCACAAGAAGCTGGTCGAATTGCTGCTGAGAAGAGACGCAGATCCGCGTTCGATCGACGCGAAGGGATTAACTGCTATGCATTTCATTTGCAAAGGTAACTGTAGGTCACAACGTGAACTAGAGAGGGCCGTGGAATGTGCGACTCTGTTACTCGAAATCGGCAAAGAAAAAAATCAGTCGGTGCAGATTAACGCCCGAGATAGGTCGGGTAACACACCGCTACACTATGCTCTGGCCTACAGCGACAAGAGGATGATCGAATTGCTGCTGAGAAACGGCGCCGATTTTAATTTGGCCAATGCAGAGGGGTTGACCGCTCTGCATTTTATGTGCAAGAATTTTTACAAGGGAGGTGAATTGGTGGAGACGTTATTCAAGATCAGCGAAGAAAGTCATCGGACGGTGCGGGTAAACGCCCGGGATATCAAGGGTAACACGCCGTTGCACTTGGCATTGCAATCCAGGATTATTGACATCGCGAAGACGTCCGAATTGCTGCTGAGAAACGGCGCCGATTTTAATTTAGCCAATGCAGAGGGCTTGACCGCTCTGCATTTTATGTGCAAGAATTGTAAAATCGGTCATGACTTGGTGGACATGATATTCCGGATCAGCGAAGAAAATCATCAGGCGGTGCGGGTCAACGCCACGGACAAATTGGGTAACACGCCACTGTACTACGCTGTGGCTCCAATCCACAGCGATTGTGGAATATACTGGATAAGACCAATTGTTCAAACGCTGCTAAAAAATGATGAAACCCGAATTTAGCTAACAACGAGGGAATCGCTCCTTTGCACAATGCATGCCAGGGAAACCACAGCGTCGAGTTTCTGAAGATGTTTTTCGAGCTCAGCAACGACGCGTACAAGCCGCTGCAACTCAACCGCCAGGACGATTCGGGCCGGACGCCACTGCACTTTGCACTGAGCAAGATACGGTTGGATCGGTTTTCAACGATGAAAACGGTCGCCGAAATGCTGCTGAGAAGCGGCGTCGACCCAAATTTGGCCGACAACGACGGATCGACCGCTCTGCACATGATTCTCGATAGATGCGAAGAGAGGTATCGGGACGACGGTCTGGTGAAAATGTTCTTCGAGACTTGCGACGAAAAACGCGTTCCAGTGTCGCTCGATGTCCCCAACAAGTTGGGTTGGACACCGCTCCAACGGGCCGTGGCGAATGTTCGCTCGGACGTCGTCGATTTACTCTTGAATCGTGGCGCCGATCCGTCGAGCTTCGTTTTTCCCGCTGCGAATTATTTCGCCGAGAGAATTGATCCGCGATGGTTTCAGCTTAGGGATATCTTCAAAATTGTACTATCGTTTAGCGTTCTGATTTTCGAGCGCCTTGAAAAAGAAGGCTACGTGCTTGACTTATGTGACGCCGTAGCGGTCATGAAAATTTTCCGTAATAACGGATTGTTCCAGAGGTCGACGGATCTTGTAAAACGTTGGTACGATGACGTGGATTTCGCGAGCGAAGCGAAAGAGATCGTGTGGAATTCGAGTCTGTCGCTCTACGATTTGATTCGATTGAAACCCACCGAGGCGTCGAAAAAACTCACCAGCACGGACTTATTGAAGTTCGTGCATTCGGAAAAAATTTGGAAAGTACCCTCCAGTTTTTGGACTGCGTGTAGTGTGCACTTGTGCGAGATCGCGTCAAGAAGATTTTTTCGTGAATGGGCTCTGGAAAGTTTCATGGCTTTGACGCGCTATTCCCTGCCGACTCTCTGCTGTGAAATGATCATCGACGAATCATTCATGAACAAAGATTTATTTAATATTTGCTGGGCAGCTGCTGAACAAGGCTCGTAATGGCTCGATTATCAATATTATTTTTGTATCCTTTGTTCACAATTTCATGTATGAGATAAATAAAATAAACGATCAATTCCTTAATTTGCTTTGATTTTAATTTTTGAATTTGAATTTTATTTTTCTTTTATTTGCCTAGCCTCGCTATAAGCATGATACATTATAGGTTGTCGTGAAAAAAGCGAGTGAATGAGCAAAACCACGATTCAACTGGTAGCCGATTCGTTTCGCGTTCGCCTTATTTTCTTTTTTACCCAAAACAAGCCGCCGAAAAGTATAAAAATAGTCTCGCTCGCGAAACGCAAGTGCACCGTGTATCACACATATATTATACACATTCGTACGAAAACATTTTGGCATGATGCACGCGGAGATAAGCGGGCTCGCGCGCCTGTCAGTCGCTGCGCTATTGCGATCGCGCGGGTCTCGTGAAATATTCATGCATACATTATACATTAGGCTATATCTAAAATACGACACGAGGTGCAGCGGTGTGTCGTGTGGCTTTTCGCGGCAGCATCGAAATCGAAATTAGTCGCGCACGACTTGCGACTCTCTATATTTGTCTCTGCGCGCGAGTATTTATAATATAGCCGCACGCGCGTCGCGATATACATACACGCTCGACTGGCACAATGGTGTCCGATAAGGGCCGAATACTCGTGTCGGAACGAGCTGTCGTTGTTGCCATAACGCCCGCACGCACACGCGTTAGGATATAGAACGATTAGGACAACGCGTGGTTAACGCCACGCAAAAAGTCACTCTGGCTGTTTATGCATAGAGATCCGTCCCACGGGTTCCTGCTCGTGCAATAGATCGTGTGAATTTTCGCGCGCGTCCTTGTGTGCATATTTGTGCGCGGCGCAGGGTGTCCTTTTACAGTTATATATGCGTACGGTACAGCCGCAGGGCGTGTGATGCATGCGGCCGTCTCGAATGCCGCGAACCTTCGCGCGCTATAGATCACCCAATAATGTCTACTATATACTACTGATATACTGGCAGTTACGTATATAACTCGCTCGAGCTCCAGGCCTATATAATCGAGATTCCGAAATTTTAATTACTTATGGATTCTGTGCCCGTGCTGTGCGTGTATCCTGAGAGTGGACGCGTGTAAGTGACGCATTAGTCGCTTGGAAAAATTTACTCAATTTTCAACGATAGTTGCGCATTTACAATAGCTTTAGTTCAAATAACTCAAAACTGGATCGGTCATTCGTTCGATATTGTTGTATTCTTTCTGATTGGTCATAAATATTTCAATTTATGTCTTTTTAAAAACCAGTTATATATGCTGTGAAGACGAACTGATTACAGTTGTATGTGCTGACTGTAATTAAATCCTTATTGAATGTCTTACCTTATTAAATGACGTGTATTTTATCAGTCAAATAATTAGAAAAGTTCATAATTTTCTTGACAATTGTAAAAGATTATACTGAAAAAATTTCAAATAAAAATTTTGTTTATTGCAATAAGCAAAATTTCGCATGTTTTGGCAATTTTGATTTTTATCTTTTCTATGCTACGATCAGCCAAAGTATTTTTCACTACTTGAACCTGAACCAATCAAACACGTGACAGTGACAGATTTTAATAAATTTACTGACAAATTAATTACCTGTTTTTTTACAGTAAAACACTCTTTATTCTTCGAAATTTTTTTCAAAATTAATGGTTGTTGAGTGAAAAATCATTTAATTTGCGCTTTAACAGTTTCTAAATACATGTAATTGTTTCAGAACACCAAAATAGCTTTAGACAAAATATTTATCAATAATTCGCTTGTTTCTGTGTTTTTGTCGGGAATTACACGCGTAAAAAATTTCGATCCCAATCACAGCTTCCAATTTTAAGAATTTTTTATTGTAAAATTGCTCATATACTCGATCTCCGAGCTACAAAATCACGTATACACGCGCGATGTGTGTCTGCCTCTGCAAGTGCGAGCACGCGCGTGTATGTATGTATAGCTCTCGGAAAGCTTTTCTCAAAAGACAACGAAAAGCTTTTAATCTGTTTAGTATCGGCGAGAGAGGGGTAAGAGCCGCTGCTGCCGCCGCTGCTGCTGCTGCTTGAAACGAAAGGAAGAAAGGAAAAAAAATTACCAAGTGGCAGGCAGACACAGATTCGATCGGATCAGGCGCGGCGATAGTACGAGCGCTCGCGTAATAGAAGGAAAATTAATATTTTCCAGGATAGGTTTTCGTCGACGCTAGAGAGAGATAGAGAGAGAGAGAGAGAGAGAGAGAGAGAGAGAGAGAGAGAGAAAAGGGAACGCATTAAGCGCGGAGAGATGTATAATGTGATTGCCAATTTGCCCCCGGAGCTTCTTGTCTGTCTCTGCCGTTACATTAGACGAAAGCACATCGCTATACATATGTACCATTATAGAGCATGCACACATGCACACGTATATGAAGCCTTGAACTTTACCCCTCGCAATTGAAGCTCCGCTATTGTAGACGAGAGAGCACATGTGTGTCGAAGCTATATATCGCCACGAGCCCGTGTAATTTATATGTAACCAAATTAGTACATATAGTTCCTCGAGAGATAGTACGGCATAATATATTCTACATAGTACCAGTAGTGAGCTCTTACTGCTGAAATTAATTTTCTCATATTTCTTTCAACAGTTTTTTTTAACGTTCAAATATGATTATTTATCGCTCGAGTATAGCGAAAAATTCGAGCTTTAATGACATTCCGATCGAATTTATATACTAACTACGTACGCGCGCCTTTGGGTCGACGTTTCTTTCTTCTTTTCTTTTCTGTTTTTTTCTTTTTGCTGTAACAGCTGCGCGAGCTTTTGCTCGATAAATACACAAGCACACACACACACACACATACACACGCGATTTCAATATTAGCCTTCTCTCGGTTCGCTTGAAACCTCGCGAGGCACTTGGTTTATCCGGCCGTATGATCGAGTTATATTTACGCACGCGAGCTTATGTGCATATACATCGTACACGTACGTATACGATGCGTTCGCATGTGTATACGTGTGCGCGAGCTCGATCGCATTGGCACAATGACCGAAAAGCTGCGATGTTATATTTTCGTGTATACCTTCGGACTCGCTCGCTCGCGCACGTTTTCGTTTTCGCTTTCTCGCGCGAATCGTGTCTTGGCAAACTGGCCGAGGTCGTAGTACGCGAGAACTGGACACACACACGCATGTGTACGAGCGCGCGACCCTGAAAAAAAAGCCGACTCGGGGGGAATGTAAAGCTCGAGATATCACGTGTGTATTGGCCTATTTGAAAAATTGAGCTTTTGAATGTCACTCGCTCCGTTAAGCACAACTCGACACACACGCATACACACTAAAGCTTTATATTAGAGTTGTAAAAGCTACGGACGATATCTCGTGCGCGCCATCGCGTATAGGATCGAGATTTCACGCGCGCGAGCGCGAAACTTTATAGTAGCGTATACACATGCTCAGGAGGGCAGCTTTCGTGCTCAGCGCCCTACCTCCCAAAGTTTGATGGATCCTCGGCAGGCCGCAAGCTCGAGCTCGACTCCCCTCCCCCGCAGCTCTTCGTGCATTTGACGCGAATTCGAAGGCGCACGTATATACGTATATTCTAAATAAAAAGTGCCGAGTCAATTAAAGTGCATACGTATGTCGGAGTCGTTAAAACAACCCAGTTTTAAAATATATCTCGCCGAGCTTTTTTACCCCTCGCTTGTTTTTGTTTCAAATGCGGTGCCAAGAGAAAAAAAAATTGCCGGAATAAAGAGCGTGGCCGTGATTTCGATCGTGTACTATATCGCTGCGCTACACCTTCTAAATGGTAAACAATACGATCTCGTTTCCAGTCGCAGGCGTGCTTGCTCGAGTGCTTGGCCTTTTTTATTATTATTATTATTGCGCCGCACTTGCATCTTGTAAACACGTTCTTCGTATCGTGTGCATGCGCGCGCGTG